TGGTGTCCCCCAAAAKTTCAGGTGTGAGGCAATGCAAGAAGGTTTAGAGGAGAAATGATTGGGTTATATAGCATAGCCTTAATCCAATCTGAGAATTAGTTCCTGATGGGTTTAGCTGAGTGGTAACTGGAGCCAGGTAGGGTGTGGTACATTGGGGGCATGGATTTGGTGTATATATTTGTATGTGGCAAGTGAACACCTCTCTCTGCTTTCTGATCATCATGTGATCTGGGTCCCTCTATCACACTCTTCTGCCATGATATTCTGCCTCATCTTGTACCCTGAGGAATGAGCTGGCCTTCTATGGACTAAGACCTCTAAAAACATGAGCCCTTAAATAAACTTTTTCTCCCCATACAATTGTGCTGGTTGGGTCCTTTAGTCACAGAAGCAAAAAAGCAACTAAAACATTCTCCATTTCTATTACTTTTCCTGCAAATGACATAATTCCATTTGTGTTTATGACTGAGTAAAACTACATTGGGTATATATACCACATTTTCTTTATTCAGTAATCTGTTGATAGACACCTAGGTTGGTTCTATAACTTTGTTATTGTGAACTATGCTGTCATAAACATGGATACGCATGTGTTGCTATAGTGTACTAATTCTGTTGGACAAATATGGAGGATGGTATAGCTGGGTCATGTATTGGTTTCATTCCTAATCTCTTATCACAGCAACAAAAACCTGACAATAGAGGTCACCTGTGTCAAAAACTGATGGGAACTTGAGCAAAGGTTTCTTTTATTTCATAATAATTATCTCAATTTGTAGTTTAATATTATTTTTGTGTTTAATTGGTTAGCATCCCTCACCATTAATCAAGGTTGAGACTCATAAGGGCAAAGATTCTGACTGGCTTGTGGGTAATATTTGGCACAGGTCCTGAATACAACAGACAGGCAGCCCTTCCAATCCACAGTGACACTGAGGTGCAGCTCACACCTTCTCCAGTGCCATGAGGAACTGTCTCTGGACCCAACATGTTCATTGGCACTCCCAACCATGAGACCCCATCATTCATCCACCAAAGCTTAGATACCACCTGGTTCCCCAAATTAGCAAGATCAAGTTTTACCTGAGAAGAATGTGCACTTAGCTAAGTTAGACAAATAATCTTGCTTGGATTATTTTTCCATAATCACAATTATGAATTGTGGAATTTGAACCTCATACACAAATCATTCCAGAGCACTACTGTGCCTCTCTATACCCAAAGAAATTCACTCAGACAGTGCAAGTCAAGATAGGCTTCCCATGGGAGGAACCACCTGGGCCCCCATTATGAAAGGATGAAAATACCATAATGATTGTCATCCTTACATCACTGATTTGATGGATCACCTGTTCATTTACACTTATATCAGCTTGATGCCTTCCTGAGTGTTATCTGAGATGGAACTTTTATCTGTTGTCAATGAGAATAAGAAAGGAGATAAACCATTCATGTTGATAAGGACTGTATATTTCTCATACCTGTATGATTCATTTTATGTGGCTGGACTGTCCTTATTTATGCTATATCCTTATTTGTCTCTATCTGAAACCAGAATAATAACTGGGCATTAGTCATCTGAGTACTTAAATATTTAGAACAGACCTTTTAAGGTATGTGTTTTCTGCTTTTTCCCCCAGATTGCTCCCTCTTCAGAACAACCAAATCTACACATGTATATTACCTGGCTTTGTTTCTTTAAATTATAATTGTGTCTGTGGGATAGTTAAGGAGAAGCAATCTAACTGCTTCCTCCTGGGTTGATCAAATGGCCTCAAGTTCAATACTCATTTTACCAACTTCTGTCTGCTTATTATGTGGGTGGGCATCCAAATCCAGCCATCTAGGATCAAGGCAGATCCCAGGGTTAGGCTATCAGCAACAATCTCACCATAACCCCAAATCTTTTTAATACTTTTTCTATGGAACTATATAATTTCATCTTTATGATGAAATAACCAAGGCTAATATGATTTCCCCCCTTATTTATTTCCTTATTTCCTTATTTATGCTACGTCCTTCTTTGTCTCTATCCGATAATAACTGGGCATTAGTCATCTGAGTACTTAAATATTTAGAACAGACCTTTTAAGGTATGTGGTAAGTGTTTCACTAAATATGTGTGAGGAGGAGAGGCTAGAGGTCATGAGGGCACTCTCCTGGCACATAATGCTTTCCTGCATTGGTGCAGCACAAATTTAGTATGCAAGTCACTTTGTGTTTGAAGATATTACCCTCTATGGAATTAAGTTCATGATGAATCTTCTCTCTCTCTCTCTCTGAGTGTGTGTGTGTGTGTGTGTGTGTGTGTGTGTGTGTGTGTGTGCATGCGCGCGTGCTCATGTATGTGATAACTTCTCCCTGGCCTTGAACTCCTTGGCTCAAGTGATCCTCCTGCCTCATCCTCTTGAACAGCTGGGACTATAGATGTCTGCCACTCCGCCTGGCTAGAGCATGGCTTCTTTGATTGTCCTTTGCAGAACAAGAACCTTTGCATAGGTTGGACCCCAGCACTGGATGCATTTTTCATCTCAAAAATGACTAACCCATCCTTGTTGGTACAAATCACAACCAGTCCAACCAGGACCAGAGATAAGTAGGACAGGGGGAAAATCATATTAGCCTTGGTTATTTCATAATCTTAGCCAAATATGTCTTGAAAAAAAGATGAAATTATATAGTTCCATAGAGGTTTTACATACAAAAAGTTTAAAAAAGATTTTGGGTTATGGTGAGATTGTTACTGACAGCCTAACCCTGGTACCTACCTTGATCCTAGCTGGCTGGATTTGACTGTCTGCCCACATAATAAATAGATAGAAGATGGTAAGATGAGTATTGAACTTGATGCCATTGATCAACATGGAAGGAAGCCATTAGATTGCTTCTCCTTAACTATCCCACAGACACAATTATAATTTACAGAAACAAAAGCCAGGTGATATACATGTGTAGGTTCAGTTGTTCTGAAGAGGGAGCAATCTGGAAAAAAAGACAGAAAATACACACATGCAGATTTAGTTAGTCTGTGTTAGTCTCAGAAGGAAGGAAATCCCCATTTCCATTTTCTTTGGTGCCTGTCAGGGTGGGAGGTGGAAGCCCCATGGTCCTCCAACTTCTACTCTCAGCATGAGGAAGTCATTCCCAATGTCAGATGGGGTGCCTCCAAATTCAGTCTGTTTCAAGATTGATAATGGTCAGTAGTTATCAAATGACACTGTAATCTCTCCTTGTTTGAATGCATGCCAGAGATGTGAGAAGTGTTGGTGAAGGGTGAGTATCAGTTGGTGCAGAGTAAGAAGAAAGAGAGAAGGAAGCACATAAGCACAGCTTAAATGTCTTCTCATTCTGTTATGTATTGAGAACTTGGAGACTTTGTTACCTAATCCTCTGTTTCTCAGGCTAATCAGACAAGGAATTTGACTCAGAATTGAGATAATGAGCTGATATAATTTCCAAACACTCAGACCTGGCATCACTCACATCAGGAATCTGCTGAGGGTCTCACAATGACAATTGTTCTCCTCCTAAACCAGCTTCCGGAGCTGCTCTCCACCCACAACCACCCATTTACCAAAAAGCAGGAAGCCATCTGCTCAGACACCTCTTGGCCTAATGAAAAATATGGGATTATCTTTTTGGAGTTCTGGTGCTGGATGTACTCTCTGTGGTGATATCTGCCATGAGATGGGTGGGTAGAGATTTGTGGTTCACCTGGCCATGCAGACTGCTATTCTCCTCTTCTGTCCTTTAACACCCATTAGTCATGGACATGCATTATTTTCAGAGACAGAGGCTATTCTTTGCTCTAAAATCTGTCTAACTTTCTGGCTACTGCAGGGATCTCTTACTGGCTGCACAGGAAGTAGCCTGGATTGACATTACTCAGTGCATTCATCGGCTTCGTCTTGTCCATGCCCACTATTTTTTTCTAGGGGACTTCTTCCCATCAGGGTACTGGCACAACAGCCTGAATGTTCTGGGAAGGTGGCTGTGGCCCATACAAGCCAAATAATCTTCCTGTATTAATAAACCAGGAAGATGAAGTGGTCAGCAAAGACACACAGGCAAAGAACCTGCAGAGGCCCAGCAATCTCACCTGACTCAATGACCAAACGTCCCAGATACCAGCTCTTTATGAAGAACTCTGATAGAGACTAGGGGCATAATAGTGGATAGTACAGAGACCCTGCTGCAGAGAAGTTCACATTCTGGAAAGTTAAACGAAGGTGGAATCCAACAATGTTGTTGGGGAGTAAAGAGTACAACAACAAGAGAAATGTGTTCCAGGGATACTAGAAGTTGTCCAGGGGAGGAAGTGGTTCTGTGAAGAGGTGGTATTGAAAGCATTTACCAGATGAAGTTTTGACTGAGCTGGGTTTTGAAGGATGATTAAGAGTCTTCTGGGCTGGGGCTGGGACTCAGTGGTAGAGTGCTTGCCTAGCATGTATGAGGCCCTGGGTTTGATTCCCAGCACTGCATAGAAATAAATAAGGAAAGAAAGAAAGAAAGAAAGAAAGAAAGAAAGAAAGAAAGAAAGAAAGAAAGAAAGAAAGAAAGAAAATATTTTTTAAAAAGTCTTCCATGGAGCAAGAGGGCATTGTAAGCAGAGGAAAGTGCATGAGTAGTTATTTAGAAATAATCTTTTTGGGTCGAATTCAAGGATTGTGTAATGAGAACACCCAAGGAGACAAAAACTGATTAGAGGACATTTAATTCCAATGTTTCACTTGAGTTTCTGATAAGAAGCAATAACCTTAGGGCATAATGATAACACTGATCAAAGTTTTTATTAATTTTAATAAACCTGAGCTCAAAGATCAAAATAGGCCTGTCTCATGACTCACTGCCAACTTCCAAGGTGGAGGGGGCATCTGGCTTCTGCAATTGTGGGTGGGGCACAGGTGTTTTTTTCTACTGGCTGCACACCCAGCCCCACCTCCTTTCCCAGCATATAAATATGCCAGACTGACTCACAGCTGTTCACAGAACGTAAGCTTGGCACCTTCCCCTGTGAAAAGATAGCTCACATAGCTGGAAGTCAAAATCAGGGGAGAAAATTTTAGAAGGAAAGTAGTGATGGACCTGATCCCAAACTTTTCCATGGAAACCTGGGTTCTCCTGGGAATCAGCCTGGTGCTCCTCTATCTGTGAGTAACTGTCCCAGTTCCTCTCCTCTTCAAACCTCCCATTTCTGTGAATAGGAGGTTTAGTAACATAATTTGATTTGGGGGATGAACTTTTGATTGAGTCTCAGTTTGGACCTAGATTAATCAGCCAGAGTTCTGTAGAGGCAGATTACAAACAACTGGACACCTTCTGAAAAGTGATGCACTCTTTGCAATCTTTCAGAATTCTGGGGGTAAAGAGGGGTTTACACAACTTTCTGTGTCATTGTTTATCTTTTGTGTTCTATGTGCACTACAAGAGATGTGTAGGAGGCTCATCTCCTGTGGAACAGGTGGTTCCTGCTCTTTCTCCCCACGTCCCAGCACCATTTGTAAAATGTACCAAGTGCAACCCAGGTGCTACCACAGGCACAGACTCTGTTCTTCCCTCTGTTCTCTTCCCTTTCCCTGGAACAGCCCTCCCTCCAAAAACTCAAATGCTCCACCCAGCAATATGCAGTTACTTCTGAATGATAAAACTATTGAGCAAAGACCTGGGAGAAATTTGGAACTTTTATTCCTTAAGTTAGCATCAGTGTAGAGATTTGTTTCTCCCTTGATTTGAAATCTAATGGCAGCCTCAAGAGACAAAAGTTAATAAGCCCATTTTGTATTTTAAATATTTTCCCATGATATTTCAGTACAGGAGCATGAATAAAATAATCTAGTAGAAGAATTCATTTAAATAGTGGGATTCCTGGTCTGGGGTTGTAGCTCAATGGCAGAGAGCTCATCTGGCATCTGTGAGGCACTGAGTTCAATCCTCAGCACCATATAAAAATAAATAAATAAAATAAAGGTATTGTATCTGCCTACAACTAAAATATATTTAAAAAATAGTGGGATTCCTGGTTTCACAGAGCAGGTGAAGAGAGCATTTATTTCTGACTGAGGGTAGAAGACATTGCCCCAAGGGGATCTTTGACTTCTATCTTAAATCCACTTTTATAAGAGTAGGCATTCATAGTGATGTGAAAATAGAAAATATAAACCTGGTTGCTACAATTGAAGTAAAGGGTAGTACTCAGGCTTTTGTTACATCAATTTTCCCTCCATTGGCATTTTAAAATTAATGGAAATGTTTTAATTTCATTCTGTTCAATTTCTTTGAGGTAAGTTCCTCATGTTCCTTCTGAAGGTCAAAATAGGACCCTTGGATTCTGTATTTGTGAAAACCAATCTGTTTAAAAATGACCTCATCTTTTTTGAACAATTGAAGAAATATTAATTTAATACATACATCCATGACGTAGATTGCACATGTCTTTAAATACACCTGCCCAGCTGGTTATTCTTACTCAACAGTTTCCTGTATGCCAGTGTTCTTAATCTCTTACAGCAGATGACTAAGGGACAATGTGGACCAGGGATGCAATAAAAGGCATCCGGATAGGAGTTATGAAAAAGTGGGAGATTATTCCTCTCTGCTCAAGGAAGAAGACCAAGAGTGTGGACAGTCCCCACTGGAGGCCCCTAGAGGGGCCAACATGATGGTATCAAGTCAGCTTCCTAAACTGACACCAGTGAATGAGGTGACCTGGCAGAAATCTAGGCTGAATTGCTCAGGAATTTTCAAGTTCATGTTTGGAGGACTTATATCAGATATTTACTGTAGCATTGGGAGCCTAATGATGGAATTAGCTGCTTTGAGCTAGTTAATATGACTTTTGTGGTCCCTCAGGGAATGTGAGAGAGGAGATGATGAGCAGATGTAATTAGGGCCATTGGAGTTTTTGTTGTTATTTATGGCCTACATGTTATCTGCCTGGCTTCACTGTTCCCATTCTTGAATCCGTGACTCATGAGTCTCTATATACACACAGTCACAATCCCTTGACCTGGATTTCTCTTCCACTTTGTAGATATGGGACCTATTCACATGGATATTTTAAGAAGCTGGGAATTCCAGGGCCAACACCTCTGCCCTTTTTTGGAACTCTTCTTAATTATCGCCGGGTGAGTGTCGTTTGAGCTCCCTGTTTTGCCTCTTATGGTTGCAAGCATCTGCTTAGTTACATCAGTAGAAATTCAGCTCCATGAGAGAAGATTCAAGATTTCTAAGCTTTATAAACTGTGTGAGGGCCCCATCCAAAGCACAGTCAATTTTACCCTGGGGCTCTGTTTACAACTCCTCATAGTGTCAGGTTCACTTCTATTGATGAGCTCAGGACTCTGGCACAAACACACTGTAATCTGTGGACTTTCTGTTCAGACTGAGAGCATTCTCACCAAGTTTTCTTTTTATCTCAGTGCAGATTCTAGGAAGACACACTCAAACCTCTGGGATGCTTTATTTGCACAGTTAAAATATTACAAATGAGGAAGATTAATTGCTTAGTTTCTATGATGAAAACTCAGAGCCAGTGTTTACCTATCTGTGTTCTATGTGCAGAGAAGTAGCATCTCCCCTTTTCCTAGGTTGACACAGGAAAGCAAGTCCACTTTTTATTTTCTCACTATCTCACTTACTTATTCAACAATATGATTGTGACAACATAAATCTCCTAGGCTAGAAGAGGTTGCTGGTATCTTTAACTTCCTAATGCTACCAGAATTTTAGAGACAACATGAGACAAATTAAAATGATACTGGATGAGGAGACAAAAGATGGCCCTGGGAAACACTCATTTTCTCTCACTTTGGGTTTCCTCATGTGCCCATGGAGGTTATAATTCAGAAGGTCCCAGTATTTCCGAGGCAACATAAGTAGAGGAAGAAATACTGCAGAAGAGAAGCATGTTGTATTCATAGACAAGGGCAATTAGTTGGGTATGTATAATACTTAGAGAAAATTTAAGTGACATTACATATTTCATTTCAAATATTGCATATTTTCTCTTTTCTCCTCAGAAGCCTCTGAGTAAGAGCTTCTCTCTAACCACCTGTTAGGAACATCAAGCCTGATTTCATGGGATTTGGGTCATTTGATGTGATGTCAGTATATTTACAACAATAATGGAATTTCATTTTGTTCTTCTTCCTAGGGCTTTTTTAATTTTGATGCAGAATGTTATAAAAAGTATGGAAAAACATGGGGGTGAGTATTCTGGAAATTTCTCTGGTAGACTTGTTATGATGTGGCACCCCAATGTGTGAGGACAATCTCAGCCCAGAGCTTTTGGGATACAACCCTCTGTGCTGCAAAGTCCTTGGAGGCTTGTACTGCCAAGGGTCCTGTATCTCATCTGGAGTTGGGTTCCATAGTCTGATTTAGGTTGACAGTGTTGCATGTTTTGGCTTTTCTCCTGCTTTTGATGATCCAGAGTCTCCTAGCCATACTTTATGTCCAATGTCTGGTTATTCCAATCTTCCCCATTTTTGTTTGTTTTTGACTCCTTTAATTGAATAGTATGTATTATTTGAGAACTTTTTTTATCGTGGGCTTATAAGTCTATGACATCATCTTTTTCCTCATTGATGTTTAAAAGCAAAATTCCCTTATTTAATTTTCAGATTTAATGTATGCTTTTGAACACGTGGCTGGGAGGTACTGAGAAGCAGATGGGAAGTCCTTCTGCTCAGTTTTCTTCATTTCCTTTACTTTTTTTCTTCTTTTTTATTGTCATCATTATTGTTGCTCATATGTCATTTTTAAATTTTAAGCGTTGGCTTTTCAATGAAGTAGACCCAAGCATTTCTTTCTCTCCTTCATCCGTTTGACATTAATACCAGACATAGAATGTAGTTCCACCAGTGAGTTCCCTGGTGGATTGATAGGGTTTATATTGGAGGGTGGCCTCAGCTAACTATAGCAACTATTCCCTTTCAGAGCTGGTGGGGGTTTGGTGGGAGCCATAGATGAGGTATAATCATTTTGCTCTACACTAAAAATAGTGGTAGAAGACATTGACTCTTCTTCTCCATCTTCTCTCATCAATCCACAGAAAGCCACAGGGCTGACCACAGTGTTCTGCTCAGTTGACATGGCCTGTAGATACCATGTGATCCAGTGACACAACATTCCCTGCTGGATCTCCAAAAGCGCCACTCCAGCTACCACCTGCAAAACTTAGTAATTATGACCAGTTAGCCAACTATCTGCCTTCAATTTTTTTTTCACTAACCTAATAGCCTTTTGAATAATCCAATATTTTACGATGTGAAAAGTTATGGAGACTATGGGCTAAGGCTGTAGCTCAGTGGCAGAGCACTTTCCTATCACATGTGAGGCACTGGTTTTGATCCTTAGCACCATATAAAAATTAATAAAGGCATTCTGTCCACCTACAATTATAATAAATAATAAATTTAGTTATGGAAAGTAGTGTAGGCAATACTATTATATTCACCATCTAGATTTAACAAGTGTTGCAATGCTATTTCTAATTATGATCTCTTAGGAGTGTATTTTGTCTCTACATTTCTCTTCCTACCTACTTTACCTACTTTACCCTTTATGCTATGAAGACTCCAGTGGCTTCTGTGGTCAGAATCCCCAACCAGAACTTCATGTTGCTATGTATTGTAGGACTAGGCAGGTGGAATAGGTAACATCAGGATCAAAGTCTGGATTTCTGCTGCAGAATCTGGCCTGTTAGATTTAATCAGCTCTATTTTCTAACACAGCATATATGATGGTCTACGGCCTATTTTGGTTATTACGGAGCCCAGCATTATCAAAACAGTGCTCATCAAAGAATGTTATTCTGCCTTCACTAACCGACGGGTAAGCATTTACTTTTCAACATTTTAACATTTATTTAGTTATTTTTAAGTTTTTAATTTATTCTTTCCAGTTATGCACAACCCTAGAATGTATTTTGACATATTATACATACATGACCTACAACTTCACAAGCCTGTGTTTGGATATAATGCTGAGTTTCTCTGGTTGTGTATTCATATATGAACATAGGAAAGTTATGTCTGATTCATTCTACAGTCTTTCCTATTACCATCCCCTCACCCTTCCCTTTGTTCCCCTTTGTCTAACCCAAAGTAACATTTACTTATTTATTTCTTTATTAACTCAATTTTTATCCTGAGATATTTATAAATTCAGAGGGCATTCCTTGCCAAAAACATTACCAGGCAGTTGCATGTATAATTTATTATGTTTTATCCAAAGATAATTTCTTACATGACTATAAATTTATTAAGTTCCTATTTCTATAGTAACAGGAACTTGATACAATCTAGGATTTTTATTTTCATTTTTCCTGTTTTGTGTGCCTATATGTATGAGTGTGCAGCTCTGTGCAAATGTATCACATTCCTACATTTGTGTAGATTTGATTGTGTTTTTAATGTGTTTTCACCAGTTCTTCATTAACCTTAGAAATGTGCCTGGTTTCTTGTGTGTTTACCACATTGGTCAATGTTTGCACCTACAAATAGGTAAAATCCTATGTGTATTCCTTTTATTTATTTGTTTTTCTTTTCCTCTGACATCAGCTGGGAGTTCCAGTGTGAGGTTGAATAAGAGCCAGTAGAGTGAATATTTATTTTGAAGGATATAGATTTTAATCTTCCAAAGTTTACCCCAATTTTAGATGAGGCTGATGTGTGTGTGTGTATTCCCATACAATCTCTATCTTCACTTTTTAAAAACTTTGGGTGCTGGGTCTAGCTCAGTTGGTAGAGTGCTTGCCTCGCAGGCACAAAGTCTGGGGTTCAATTCCCAGCATCACAAAAAATTTTTAAAAAACTTTGATTAATGTATGATAATATGTTCAATACATACATATATTCCACACTGCCCAAATCCAGCCTCTATTTACTTCCCAACATGTCCAAATCACTAATCTGCACTCAAATGAACGTTTTTACTTGTCTTTCTGTATATGACTGAACATACATTGTAGAATTATTCCTGATGCTTGAGAGAAAGCATTCAGTTTGCCACAAGTAAGTATACTGTTAGCAGAAAATGGATTTTTGTACTCTTGGTCAAGTTGAAGAAACTTCCCTCTGTTCCTAATCTCCTAAATTTTTACAGTGAATGAATTGCTTAACACCTCACCATTGCTTATTTACTCAAGTTTATCAACTTGAAATAGTAAGTAACACTGTTGCCGAGGCTGGCTTTGAACTTGCAATCATCCTGTCTCAGACTCCCAAGCTGCTGGGATTACAGGCATGCATCACTGTGCCTGACTGGAAGCATACATTTTAATACAAAAATGTATTTTAGATGATGGAACTAAATTTCAAGGGTTTTGCTTTTGTGGGCTAGCACCCAGGTGAAAAATAGAATTATCTTCCTTTCCCCCTCTGCCCTTGTAGAAAATATTGGAAGAACTTCCATTAATAACTTGTGTTTTTCTGTATTACACTTATATTCCAAATCTTTTAAGTTTCAAATATTAATATTTTTAAAATTATCATATCTAACCACCCCTTTTTCAAGATGCTTATGCTGTAAATGCATATAAAGACAGAATTGATCTTAGGTAGCATACAGTTGACCAAGAACACCTGATATCTGTCACCAACCCATTTCTGCTCTGCATAGCCCTGGAGGTTGTACTAGGTCTTCTTCCTGTCTATTCCACTGGAAAAAGCTTCAAACCAAGGGGAATTTTACATCTAAACAAAGGTTGCAATATAAAGTCCAAAAATGGTGTGAAGTGCCTGGGTGTCTCTTCCAAACTCACAGGAGGCTAGGCACTTGGAATAAATACTATTGAGTGACTGACATAGGGCTAGCTACCTAGTAGGCAGTCACTAAACATTTTTTTAAGTAAATCATGCTTGTTTAACAAACTTTTGCAGCTGTTGAGACCTCCAAATTTATGTAGGACAAAATCTCTTTTCCTCTGGGCTCTAGGATTTTGGTCCAGTGGGATTTATGAAAAAAGCCATCTCTTTGTCTGAGGATGAAGAGTGGAAGAGAATAAGAACACTTCTGTCTCCAACCTTCACCAGTGGAAAACTCAAGGAGGTAATAAAATAGGAGGGCTTTTCACTGGAAACTTAAAGAATAAATCTAGGTGTGGGTAGAAAGTGATATGGATCATAGTTCCTTTCCAAGGGATAGTCCTCTGAATTTGAACTTCCTAAAAATGTTCTTTTGTCTTTATGTTTTAGAAGATATATAGAAAGATTCATTATAAATGTCTCATACTTCTTCATCCTGGGAAAACCATAGCCTTGGGGACTGTGTCTCCTTACTGAACTATGGGTGATCTTGTGTTTTGTGCATAGATGTTCCCCATCATTAACCAGTATGGAGATGTGTTGGTGAAAAACATGAGACTGGAATCAGAGAAGGGCAAATTTATCAACTTGAAAGAGTAAGTAGCAGGGCAGCTCTGGCATTCCAAGCTCTACCAGGACCCCCTCCAACTGCCTGCCACATAACTGAATTCCAAATGTTGAGCTTGTACAATGAGCAGAAAAAGCAAGAGTTTGGAGTCACAACTCCAACTGTTATTCTAAGAAAGAAGTGCTCCCAGGAGGAGTCAGGGAAGCTGGGGGAGAAAGGATCTCTCCTGTATCCACCAAGGTTTGATAAACTAGAAGACAAAATACTGTCAAGGTCAAGGTCACCTTTTTTGAGTCAGTACCTCCACTCTTGTCCTGCTGAAGCTCAGTTTGTATACAACTGTCATCATCCACATTCTATTTGTGCTACTGTAGTGTGTCTGATTATGGATCTGATTCCTGTGTGGGTGAACTTCTTGAGTTCAGAGGTGAGTCTAACTCACCTCACTGTCCCTATCAGTCCTGGCACAAGGGAAGTACCTCATTTGCAACTCATAAAGGCCTCATAGTCAGTGTGAAGGGATCATGGACTCATAGTCCAGCAGAAAACTGTGACAGTGTGTGGCTCATTGCTTGTCTTGCCTGGGTATGTGAACTTCCTCCTACTTCTTCCTGCATGTGTAGTAGAAGGATTGGGAAGATGCACTGATTTTAACTTTCCATGTCTTTCTCTATTCAGCATTTTTGGGGCCTACAGCATGGATGTGATCACTGCTACTTCATTTGGAGTGAACGTCGATTCCCTGAACAACCCACAAGATCCCTTTGTGGAGAAAGTCAAGAAGCTCTTAAAATTTGATTTCTTTGACCCTTTGCTCCTCTCAATAAGTATGTGGACTACCATGTTATTCGTTTCCTCTCTCTATTTAAATAAGATCATTATTGATACATAATTAACATACCTTTTAATTACCCCACTTAATTTATACAATTCAATGGTTTTCAGTACAAAGATATACTCAGCCATCACTAGTGACCATTTGTCAACTCAGAAGCAGGCTATCATTTCATTATCAACTCTCTATTCCCCAAGCCTAAGCAACCATGGATCTATTTTCTGACTCTTTAGATTTGCTGATACTGTGAATTTTCTATTAATGAATCCCACAGTATGTGGCTTTGCATGTCTGACTTCTTTCATTTATCATTGTGTTTTCAAATTCTTCCATCCTGAAGCATGTGTGACTACTTCATTTCTTTTTTTAAAGAAATTATTTATCTATTTGTTCTAATGAATTATACATGTCAGCAGAATGCATTTCACTACATAAAACACAAATGGAGCACATGTTCCTAGGGTAATGATGTACATCTCATTCAACCATCTTTCCTACACTCATCCCCCCTCCGTTTCCCTTGCCCTATCCAAACTTCCTTTATTCCTCAGATGACCCTCCCACCCATTATGGATCAGCATCCACTTATGAGAGAAAATATTTGGCTTTTGTTGTTTTGGGATTGGCTTACTTCACTTAGCATGATATTCTCCAACTCCATCCATTTATCTGAAAATGTCATGATTTTATTCTCTTTTAATGCTGAATAAGATTCCATTTTGTATATGTACCACATTTTCTTTATCCATTCATCTGTTGATGGGAATCTAGGTTGGTTCTGCAGTTTAGTTATTGTGAATTGAACTGCTATAAACATTGATGTGGCTGCATCACTGTAGTATGCTGATTTTAAGTCCTTTGGGTATAAACAGAGAAGTGGGATAGCTGGGTCAAATGGTGGTTCCATTCCAAGTTCTCTGAGGAATCTCCATACTTCTTTCCAAAGTGGTTGCACCAATTTACAGGCACATCAGCAATGTAAGTGCCTTCCCCCTCAAATTCTCACCAACATATATTTTTGCTTGTATTCTTCATAACTGCCCTTCTGACTGGAGTGAAATGAAATCTTAGAGTAGTTTTGATTTGCATTTCTCTAATTACTAGAGATGTTGAACATTTTTTCATATATTTTTGTTGCTCAATTGTATATCTTCTTCTGAGAAATGTCTGTTCAATTCCTTAGCCCATTTATTGATAGGGTTATTTGTTGTGCTGTTTTTTGTGTTAAGTTTTTTGAATTCTTTATATATCCTGGAGATTAGTGCTCTATATGATGTGCATGTTGTAAAAATTTGCTTCCATTCTTTAGGCTCTCTCTTCACCTTATTGATTGTTGCTTTTGTTGATAAGAAACTTTTCAGTTTGAATCCGTCCCATTTATTGTTTCTTGATTTTATTTCTTGTACTTTAGGAGTTAAGGAAGTCAGAGTCTGATCTGACATAATGAAAGTTTGGGCCTACTTTTTCTTCTATTAGGTGCAGGGTCTCTGGCCTAATTCCTAGGTCCTTGATTCATTGTGACTTAAGTTTTGTGTATGGTGAGAGGTAGGGACTTAATTTCATTTTGCTACATATGGAATTTGAGTTGTCCCAGAATCATTGTTGAAGAGGTTTTGTTTTCCCAATAAATGTTTTTGGCACCTTTGTCTAGTATGAGATAACTGATTTTGTGTAGGTTTGTCTCTGTATCTTCTGTTCTTTACTATTGGTCTACATGTCTGTTTTGGGGCCAATATGGATTTCCAGTTTTGCCAGCACCATTTGTTGAATAGGCTCTTTTCCCCAGTGAATGTTTTTGGCACCTTTGTCTAGTATGATATTCATGTGGGTTTGTCTCTGTGTGCTCTATTCTGTACCATTGGTCAACAAGTCTATTTTGGTGCAGATACCATGCTGTTTTTGTTACTATAGCTCTGTGGTATAGTTTAAGATCTGTTATAGTGATGTGATAGCTATTCTGGGTCTCTTATTTTTCCAAATAAATTTTATGATTGCCTTTTCTATTTCTTGAAGAACATCATTGGGATTTTAATAGGGATTGCATAAAATGTGTATAACACTTTTGTAGTATGGATTTGCCAGAATTTAATTGAGACATTTTGCATCTATGTTCATTAAAGATATTGGTCTGAAATTTTCTTTTGTTGATGTGTCTTTGGCTGGTTTTGAAATCAGGGTGTACTGGCCTCATAGAATGAGTTTGGAAGTGTTCCCTCTTTTGCTATTTCATGGAATAATTTGTGGAGTATTGGTATTAGGTCTTCTTTGAAAGTCTTATGAAAATCTGTCTGGTCAGGGCTCTTCTTTGTATGTAGGCTTTAGATGGTGTCTTCTATTTCCTTACTTGAAATTGATCTGTTTAATTTGTGTATATTAGTTTGATTCAATTTGGGTAGATCATRACTCTAGAAATTTGTCATTGTATTCGATATTTTCTATTTAATTGGAGTATAAATTTTCAAAATAGTTTCTAATTATCTTCTGTATTCCAGATGTGTCCATCATGATATTTCCTTCATTATCACAAATTTTATTAATTTAATTTTTCTCTCTCTTTATTCCTGTGGCTAAGGGTTTATGAATTTTGTTTTTTTTTCAAAGAACTGGCTTTTTGATTTGACAATTTTTTCAATTGTTTCTTTTGTTTCAGTTTCATTGATTTCAGCTCTGATTTTAATTATTTCCTGTCTTCTACTATTTTTGGTGTTGATTGTTCTTTTTTGGGGGGACTTTGAGATGTAATGTTAGGTCCTTTATTTATTGACTTTTTCTTCTTTTAAGGAATGAACTCCATGCAATGAACTTTCCTCTTAGTAGTGCCTTCATAGTGTCCCAGATATTTCTTTCTTTTGTTTTTTTTTTAGCTTGTAAAATCATGTTTATTGAGTTCAATCATCACAGAATGATGAAGCAGATTTTTCTGATGGCTACTTGTTACCATGAATATACTCAATCTTTCCTCACATTTTAGAAACTTTTAAATTTTTAGTCACATGAAGGGACATAGCAATGACAATTGCTGGAAGAGAGTCCTTATTGGGTTTTAACATGTTTTC